TCTAGTTAGCACATACATGTGTGTGCATACGCATACATAAAGATAAGCACGTGTACATATATACACGTGTGTTTGCACACATAAAGAGAGTACATTGATCCCAATTATGCTTTGTTATCCTCTCAAAGAATAGTCCAGAAGGCTGCCCATCTGCTTTTCCCATGCTAAAGCACACTAGGGGAAGGAGAGTAGTAAACTAGAGTAAATAAGATATGTGATAAATAAGAGCAGACCACTGGCAATGGGATGAGACTGTCCACGTGTGGAATAACAGCAGATTAAAGGGCAACTCATAAACCCAGTGGTGTCGATACCTGAAGGGTATTGCTCTAGGTAGCTACACATTGCATCATCCTCTCTCTGTTCTCACACTTTCCTCTTGTGTTTGCTGCTTTTATGCTACTGGGGCTAAATCCTGTTGGAATCCCAGCCTGGCTCATCTACACTATACTATAAGCAATAGTAAATATAGAAAAATGATGGTTTAAAGTTTGAATTAGGATTTTTTGGGGGGCAGTGTTTGCAGAGAAGTGTAATTTGGAATGTTTCATGATAGAGCTTGAGGAAACAGGTTGATGAAGACCTATTTCACTTTTTCTCCTAACAGAAGTGACACTGACTAGCCTAATTAGCCCAGTCTCTTAAAAGATGTGGCTTCCCAGAAACCTCCATCTGGAAATGTGGGTCAGTTGATCTTGTATTAGACAAAAAACTTTCTCCTCAGCTCATAGTGAAGCAGCCTGAAAACTCCAATCTTGTTCTAGAGATTGTTGGGAGGAAAAACAGGGTAAGAGAGGAAAAGGTTTTAATTGGTCTCTGTATTCTTTGCATACACTATTGGCTGAAGGACGTCCTGCTGGCTCAGGAATATTTCATACCATAATCATCCTGAACACCAAACTTCATACTCAATCCATTTTGATCTTCTGCCCCCATCATTAATGTAAGGATTCTCAAGGTTTTTAATTATGTCAATGTTTATACTTGCCAGTTTTGTTTTTTTCTCGCTCCCACATTATGCTTTAGCCTAAATTCTCATTCTCATGTCCGTCTTTTGCATTGTCCTATGCCACAACAAGCACACAGACAGCAACTGTAGGACTTGTTAGGCTGTGTTTTCCCGAGCTGAACAGACCAAACACCATTAGTTTACTGTGGGAAGAGAGCCTGTACTCTGACACTTCTAATGTTTTTCCTCTGTTCCTGCCCAGCATGAATTAATCCTAGGGCATTTAGGTGATGGTAAGGGAGTTCTTTGTATGATGATAGCCACAATGCCCGAAATTCCTTCTATTTGCTGGAAATGGCTTGGCTACTACATCCAATATTTATTTATTCCTTTCTTACAGCTGCAACACAGGTAATTATTCTAAAACTTACTACTTCACCTAGACCTTCCTCTCCATCTCCTATTCCCAGGTCAGAGCAGAAATTCCTGTTGTTGCCCCCTCTAACACCTGACCTTGTCCTGTTGAAGCTGATCTTAATGGCTGTCAAATTATTTAAAAATTCTAGACTTAATATTCCACACTGTTGAGGCTGCCCAAATTCCCAACAGAAAATGTAATTCCGTGTATTCCTTTCCACTTATTACAATATTTAGAAAGATGTCCCCAAAATAAGGACTTCTCTTCCTACTAACACCCTGTCTTGCAAAGCCTGCTGCAAGCTCCTTCTTAGTCCATTCCTCACCCCTTTACAATTCTTCCACTAATCCCCAGCTTCCTCCTTTTGATTAATCATTTTCTGTGTGGCACTGATAAATTGCTTCACTGAAAGTTCAATTAGATTAGATTGTCTTTGACTGAAAAAACTGCTATAAAAAAGTGAGAGCTGATTAGTCTGGCACAACCTACTTTTGTTGAATCTATGATATTTTATCCCACATATCAGCCTCTTATCTTTTCATTTTTCTGTCAGACCCTTTCGTAAGATCCTGCACACTGCTAAGGCCATACCTTTTCCCCTCTCTTTCCTCAGCACAGTCACTGCGCTCTATTTTCTGCAGTAAAATTCCTGTCCTCTAATTTGACAAACTTATTAAAAATGCTGTCCATCAGGCTTCCAGTTTCATGAGCTAAACATCACCTCTGAATGCCAACTATTTGGTTTAGAGCCTCTAGCTCATCTCCTGCATATTTAAAGGGTTTTTGAGTTTTACTACTACCTCAAATGGTGCAAATTTCACCCTGTACCTTTATTTCACTACTCATTTTCATCAACATACATAATAGTCCTGATGAAGACTCAGATAAGGCATTTATGAAATGTCTGAAATAGCTTTTCTTCTCAGTACCCCCGTAGAGTGGCCCTTTTTTTTTCTTTCCCTGTTCTCTATTTCAATTACAAGATTATACAGCCCTTTAGATTTGCTTTAGCTTCCTTTATAGGGTCTAATGCAACCTGACAAAGTGAGAATTGTGCAGAGTCCTCCTCCTCCTTCTCTCATCATTTGCCTTTCTTGACATTCAGTGCATTTACACCCTCCAGCTCATTTTTTCTCAACAAAGAAGGGGTCAGATTTTCTGCCAGCCACATTCTTTGCATCTCACTTGTGAACAAGAGCAAATGTGATAATTGCTCCAGCATGGATGAAGAAGGAAGTCTGGGAGAACCCAGGCTACCCTGTGCCAGAACACAGAGGCAGGAGATCCCTTCTGTAGATCTCCTGTAATACAACAAAGTTCATCCCAAGTGAGCACTGAGGATCAGACACCACATTTCACTTGTAAGGGTATTTACACAGAAATTTCCCACTTTTCTTCAGCCATTCATTTTCCCCCTCCCTGCCACCTTAACTTCTTGCATTACCACTGACCAGAAGAGAGGAAGACTAAGACAGTTCCCAAAAGTCTTGGGGAACCCCCAGGGAAGAGAATTCATAGCAGGTAAGACGCTGCTATGCAAAACAGTCAACTCTGACCTTACACAAGTCTTTCACGCAGTTTAAGGGACTGGCAAATTTGGCATGCTGTTAGAAAGTGTTTTCCAGCCTCAGTTCTTCTGCCTGATTTAAAAACTGTCTGACTACCAAGATTCCTCCGAACATTTTCTGATGGGAAACACACAACCCACGTGGTTCCAGTGTAAGCAATAGATTATAAACTAAAAATACAGTGGCTAGTTTACAGAACAAAAAACCCCACATTCCTAACAGCTCAAAGCCTCATAAAAGAAAGTAATTGTATAAGCTGCAATAAGTCTTGCAATAATTACTCATAACATTCTGTGTTTCTGTGAAGTCCCACCCAGCAGCTTTTGACTTCCCTATTTTGTGCACGACATTTTTTCTCTACTTCTGTTTTGTTCCATCTCCTCCCAAAGCCATACCACCCCAGAGTAATTGATGCTGTACAGCAGAATACTTAGGACAGACCTGCACAGATCAGACACATTCTTGCCAAAATGCCATTTATTGCAGTTTACCTTTACATGGCATACAGATAACCAGATGTTGCATTTTCTGTTAGAACTCTTATTTCATTTGTACCACTTAAATAACACAGAATGTCATGTTTGTTTCACAAACTGTCAGTTTAGACTACCAAAATATACAGTATTTTTCCTTTCCCCCTAGCAAAGTTGTGAGGTACAACTGGAGTTTACCACTTTATCTTCCTGTGCTTTACAAGAACCTTTTCATAGATAAACCTATCAAACATTTCTACATTCCTATACAAAGCAAAGAATTACAGCTGAAATTAACACCATTTGGTCATTCCATTAACCTATAAAAATTCATTTAGTTAAAAAAAAACCAAACAAAACAACAAAACAAAGAAACAAACAAAACCAAAACAAAACCTAATGGACTTTGCAGCTTTACTTAACAAACAGCCAGACAGACATATACACAAGTTTTCCTTGTGGATAAAGAAGAGTTTGGAATCATGAAGTGTTCTTTTCTTGGGTTTGCAGAGAAGGCACCAATTTTAGCTGCATAGCAGCTCAGGAGTGTTTTATACTTCGTTTAAATTACACAGGTTTTTACATTTTACTGCTAATGTGCAACATTTGTACCAACTGTTGCAATATTCTCCAATCATTCCCTCTGGCTCAACAGCACAAATATTTACATCAGTTGTAAACACTCCTCTACCCACCCCATACCTTCTGCACTGAGTGATGAGGACCTGAACTCGCAAGAAGCTAACCAAAGGCAGAGTAGGAGTAAGGCTTGTGCAGAACACCACACTTTCCTTCTCAGTCAGTTTGAGACACTCTGGAGAACTCCAGACCCTCAACAAGGCCTCAGTGCCTCACATCTGACAGCACATTGACTGCCAACAGCTTCCAGCATCCAGACTTTCCTCAGGAGGTGCTTTTTAGCCCTTACTAGTCTGACATGCCTGGAGCCGCTTTTCTCTGAAGTGCAGGAACGGCTTCTGAAGAGCCAGTCTGGAGTCGAGAGTCAAGCACGCCAACTGCTGTGTCTGTTTAAGGCCATCTACACTCAGCCTTCACCAGGCTCGTTTTAGATGCTACGCTTCTCTACTCCTTAGCTGCAAAGTTATGATGTGAAAGTCATGATATGCTGCTTGTTAACTTCCACCCCTGTGTGCCAAGGTATCTGTGGCACAGACAGCAGACCACGTTCGGAGACAACCACTGTAAACAGCGCACAGAGAGGTAGGTGCTACACCACGCCATCCGTCCCCTGGCAAATACATGGTAGCGTGGGATAGGAGTATTCGCAGCACGCCAGCCCAGCCTAGATTTGGCACCTACAAAGAGGGAACATCTGAGATGAGACTGCTTAAAAGATAAATCAATTTCTTACCTAAGCCTAGAAAGAGCAAGAGGGTAGTGGGACAGTCCAATGCTATTGGCAAAATGAACCCTCCACTTGGTTTTGGGGTCTTTGGGGTTTGTTTTGTATTAGTGTATGCACCAACTGTTTAGGAGCTGGTTCTGAGTACGGGATGATGCTTCCAAAATAGAGGTTATTTTAAACCATGTGACAGCCATTTGCTTACCCTGCCCCTCACACCTCCTTTCACTAGAAATCACGTTCAGCTTGATGTTTCATAGGCATTAAGTGCTCCAAATGCAGCAGTCAGAAAGAGCAAGAGGATTGCAGTGTACCAAGCGTCTGCCCAGCGCAGGCATTTGTTACACTTAAAACACATTTATGAGTTAAATAGGAAGGATCCCTACTACACAGAATTTGAGCACTGATAATTGTTTATTGTTGCTAGCCCTTTGCCTAAATGTCAAGAGGTTTATACACACAGTGCTCCCTTACCTTCTCCCCACCGCCTGCCCCAGCAGTCTTTAGATAAACCAAAGTGAGTTTAGGAACTTGCAGTCTCACTTCTGTTTAAAAAATACAATAAAATAAAGTTGTGCAAGAAAGCAGGGAATGTTCAATGAATCCAGAGCTACTTTGTAGTTATAAAATTTCCAATGGCAAAGTGGTAAGGGCAAATAACCCAATGATCATATGGCTTAAGTTTAATACAAAGCACACTAGGAGGTCCACGTGCAGGGAGAGAAGAGTCCAAGAAAGGTGGAATAAGAAGTGTCCTGAAGATAAGTGTTTATGCATAGAATTCTTCTTGTTTGTGTGGTTTTTGGTATCCTCCATTCGACTGTTTTGGTTCATCCAGTGAATAGCTGCCTTCGTCTTTTTTCTTCATTCTGTACAGCATAAATGCAACTAGAAACACTGCAAACACCAAGCCTACCAGTCCTCCGGCAATAACACCTAGAAGGGAGAAAAAAGCCACAAATTACTCTAGATGCCACACCAGATAATGCCAATACGACTGCAAGTTCCATATTGTTCCTTACAGCACGGTCCTTGAATTCATGACTTCCAGAAATTAATTTGTCCTTTTGCACCCTCCCAAACCATTACCAAGAGCCTGCTCATCTACACAAGGTAATCTGGAGAAACAGATCCCCTACTGGGCCATGCTGCAAAGCATGCAAGGCTCTGTTGTTCAACTCTGGTAATTTGACCCAGGCAGCATTAGAGCAGATTTACTGTAATTTTTGAGAGGAGCAAAGGAATAAGTTTACACAGAAAATTCCACTATCAGCAGATTAGTATTTGCTCTCATTAGGGTTTTGACTACACAAAAAAATTCAATCACCACTCTCATTTTGGAGGTCTAAAAGGTTGGCTTTCATGCTCAGAGATGTACTTGCAGCCCTGCAGCTTCTGCTGCCTGGAAGACTCCTACGACAGTCTGCTTTTACCAGCTAGAAATCCAGAATGTCAGGTACCTCCGAGAACTTCTTTTCTGTCCATAATTCCTGAGGCCCCTGCGGCTTTGGCATTCCTCCCAGAGTCAGCCGGTACTTCTGAGTTTTGGGTGGGGACCAAATCCTCATCTTTAGTCAAGATGAAGTCTCCCTGTTGGGACATACAAGGCAGGTTATTCATGTTTCTGATCACATCTGTTACTGAAGACTTTCCACAGCTTTGGTTTTTCCTCATCTAAAAACCTCCATCAATATAACCTATTGAATCAATAATTGTTTTTGACAAATGACCACCCTTTCCTGCAACACCAACTTACTACACACTACTAAAGACATCTCCCTGGAAAGGGTGTCAAAGCTGTTTCCCTCACCGGGTCTCCAGAGCCATCCTCAGAAACCTCCTCGTGTGTAGGAACAACATCCCCTGGAGCCGTCGTCGTTGGGGCGGCAGCGATGTCTCCCTCATGATGGGTGGTGGAGTGGGGCTCAGGCACATCTTTAGTATCTGGCACCTCAGAGCTGGGGATTTTAGGTTCAACCTCAAAGACTGTGCCTGAGGCTTCTGAAGGAGTTACACGAACCACTGAGGAAAAGGGAGTAGTGGGGCTTCTCGCTGTCGTCGTAACCGCATCATTTGTTGGTTTCTCATCAGGTGAGCCCAGGATGGGTACTTCGTCCTTCACAGCTACAACTGGCTCCTCTGTCACCACATTACTCGTTGCAGAAGGAGATATTACTTCCTTTTCAGTTCGGCTCTCGGTCCCAGGAAATAGCTGTCCATTGAAATCCATTGGTGTTACCAGCAATGAGGAATTAGTCGGATCTCCTGGGATGCTCCAGGTACGGGACTGGTCAGTCAGGGGACCTGCAAAGCAAAAAAAAGTATTATCCTTAGCCAATTTAGAGATCTGGTAATAGCATCTCTAGGACGCTGGCCTAAGGAGGATGCCTAACCTGCACAGCCAAT